GGGTCCATCACGACCTTGCATCCCGAGCCACCCTACCCTATTGGGATATTCCCCCTTCTACTACCAGTCCTTAGTAGGGATCTTAATAGGGGGGGTACTATAATCCCGATTAAGGACTGTTAGTATAAGGGGGAACATCCCAACTGCCCTATCCTAAGCCTTACACCCTACACACCTAAACTGGGCTTAGGGTCTTTAGGTGGCTCATGCCCTGAGTAAAGATCTCCCCTGGCAAAAGTTTCTCGGAGGCGAATGGGCGTGGTAGTGTTAAGTACGTTTGTTACCCTAGCCAGAGCTGTTCATGCAGTTGCGCTACTTGTTAACCTCACCAAAAATGCTCGCATGGCACCCTTCTAAGCGTGCCCTGATGGACATTTACCAGGACCCAGAGTAGGCCCTATTCCCTTTTTCTTAGGGCCTTAGGGTTTGGGTCTACTTCTAAGCAGCTTGAAACCCAAAAGGGAGCCCCTTTTAATCCTTGGTTACTCTTTCGTCTAGTTTGAGGTTTACTTATTATTATAGGGTTCCTAAGGGGGGTGGGTTTAAGGGGGATAGGTACCCTAAACCCTAAACCCCCTTTAAGGTACCGAGGCAACCTTAGGAAGCTTAGGGAGCCTTGGGGAGCAGCGGGGAGTGTAGGGGAACCTTGGGTTACATAGCCCCCTTGAAACACCCTCCCTGAAGAGCCCTACAATTTAAAACCCTACTGTAAACCCTAAACCCTAAACCCCTAAACCCGAAACCCTAAACCCTAAACCCTAAACCCTAAACCCTAAACCCTAAACCCTAAACCCTAAACCCCCTTTTAAGATCCCTAGGTCACTGACTACCTGCTGGAGCTCACCCGAGTCTGCAGCCAGGGCAGCAAAGAGAGGACTCTGCTCCCTGAGCGCCCCAACACCCTGCGGTTTAGGGTTTAGGGTTTTGGGTTTTGGGTTTTGGGTTTAGGGCTATGCTGAAAACTGGTTGTAGCCTTATTAACTTATAACTAACCAAGAACCTCCAAGTGAGCCCTACCTGGACTGCGCAAGCGCAGTTGCTTCTTGAGGTATAGAGTTTCAAAATTAGGGGCTTCAGATGTACGAAGCATAAACTTCGGGACGCCAACCACAACTGCAATCGGATGTCTATGTCATATCCAAGATTCTTTGGACCCTACCTCCAAAGCCTTATTTGAAAGCTAAGTGTTGACCCCTACCCCCCCCCCCCCGGGTTTAGGGTTTTTGGCTTAGGGCTAGTCAGTCCTATTTACACGTCTTGGGTTTAGGAGGATCTTATCTTGGAATGTTTGATATGGCCAACCGAGTGAAACCCCAAACCCCCAAACCGTTAAACCTCGAACCCTCCACCCGAAACCTTAAATTACATTGCTGAACCCAAAGCCCGAAACCTCAAAATCCCCAAACCCAAAACATCCCAAAAGTCCCTACGTAGACCTCAAACCTTAAACTTCTTATTGCTACTTCCTAGGTTACTCTTGGGTCTGAAGATTCTAAACCCTGGTTAACCTCCTCACCCTAGCCCTAAAGTTTTATTCCTGGGCTACGTTTGGGTCCCTAAGCCCTAAACTCTAAACCCTAAGCCCTAAACCGTAAACCCTAGACACCCTAAACCCTAAACCCTAGACCCTAAAAACCCTAAGCCCATGTCGGACTCCGCACCGTGCTGCCTTGGGTCTAGCTAGGAGCCCTAAACCCTCAAACCAAAACCCCAAACATCGAGGTTAAAGTGTTTTAGGGCTGCAGGGTTTTTAGGATTTTAGGGCTTTAAGGTTGAAGTGCTTTAGGGATACAGGAGTTTGAGGGTTATAGGGCTTCAGGCTCTTGAGGGTCTTGAGGGTCTTTAGGGGCTTTAGTGGCTTTAGTGGTTTTAGGGCTTTTTAACGTGACCTGCGGGACCTGGGCCGCCAGCCCGCAGGTTCCCGGGGTTGCCTTTGCCAGGTTTTAGGGGTTTAGGGCTTTAGGGTTTGTGGTTTTCAGTGCTTCTGGGTTTTAGGGTTGAGGGTTTAGGGCTTTAGGTTTATAGGTTTCGGGTTTAGAGGTTTAGGGTTTTGGGGTTTGGGTTCCTTTTTGTTTCTGGGGGGGGGGGGGGGGGGGGGGGTCGGAGGAGTGCTTTGGGATCGTTGCTACTTTCCCTTTCTAAGGGAACCTACTCATACAATGGCTTTCGAAGGGTCGCACAGCTCCGGTTTTTGGCATAAGGATCCCAGGGGTCCCATGCAGGTTCAGGGTTTAGGGGTTCAGGATCCAGAGTAGGCCCCTTCTTCCCCCTTTTTTCAAGGGTTTAGGTCAGGTTCCCTTATAAGCCCCTAATTGAACCCTAAAGCCTAAACCCTAAACCCTAAACCCTAAACCTTTTTGAACCCTAAACCCTAAACTTTAAACCAAACATGGCACCCTTTTTATTCCCAGGTTACCCCTGGGTCTAGGGGTTTAGCGCGGCAGGAACTATCACATTTTCTTCCAGCTCATCGAAGCCCGGAATTATGCCGAGCTCAAAGGCAAGGGCCTCAGGGAACTCAAATCCCTACATCCCGATATTCTTAAATCTTGAAATTCCTATACCCCCTAAATCCCTAAACCCCCTAAATCCCTAAACCCGAAACCCTAACTGCCTAAACCCTAAATCTTTAAACCCGCCTACATCCCGACACCTTTAATCCCTTGACTCCCAGGCTCCTCCAGCCTTATACGCTCGCTGTGACGTAGTGCGCAATTGCGCCTCTGCCTCTCTGAAACGGTCAAACTCCGATTCCAAGACCTCCTTGAAGGAGGAGGCTGCTAGGCCCCACACTTGCAGCGCCAATGACCCCTTTTGCTGGTTGTTTGTTTTTGTGTGTGTGGCACACACACATACACACACACACACTCTCTCTCTCTCTCTCTCTCCCTCTCCCCCTCTCGCAGTTTCTTATGGGGATGAGGTTCTAGGTAGACTGTGAGGATATTGTGCCTTAGGGTTCTAAACCTCAAGCCTGAAATCTGAAATTGTGAAACCCTTAAATATACAGCTAGACTCCAGAAAGTTGGAGCATGGTTCAAGGGTGGCTAGAGCTGGGATTCCCTTTAGTATACCTTCTGGGGTATGGGGACAAGGATGTTCCAACTTTTTGGAGTAAACCCTAAACCCTAAACCCTAAACCCTAAACCCTAAACCCTAAACCCTAAACCCTAAACCCTAAACCCTAAACCCTAAACATAAACCATAAACCTAAGCAAGGTGTTGGGTTTTCGGGTTTTGGGTCCCTAGGCTCCCGGAATGCTCATCACCCTGGCCCTGAGGCCTCGGCATCATGGAGCCCAAGGACATGGCAACAGCTAGGGAGGTTTAGGGTTTAGGGTTGAGGGTTGAGGGTTGAGGGTTGAGGGTTGAGGGTTGAGGGTTGAGGGTTGAGGGTTTTGTTGAGGGTTTAGGGTTTAGGGTTAGAGTTCAGGGTTTCGGGTCTAGGGTTTAGGGTGTCATCACGACCCCCAGGCCTTAAACCAGGGTTTAGGGTTCGGAGTTCAGGGCTGAGGGCATCAGGCATGCAGCTTGGGCACAAGGAGCCCTATCTTCTTGCGGTTTAGGGTTTAGGGTTTAGGGTTTAGGGTTTAGGGTTTAGGGTTTAGGGTTTAGGGTTTAGGGTTTAGGGTTTAGGGTTTCAGGTATAGGCCTGGCATATGCCTGAATTCCTGCTGCATCGAGGACCCGGCAGGCACAAGTCCTCGACCCGAAACTTAAAACTACACCAAAACGCCCCCCCCCAAACCCGAAACTCATTGACACCTAAGCGCCCCTCAAGCCATAAGCCGTAATGAGCCCTAAAGCCCTACAGCCCACACAATTAAATCCTGTCGCCTAAGCATTCCTGAGGCGCTCCCAAAGCACTAAACCCAACATCCTCAGCCCAAAGCACCCCATCAAGCCCTAATGTCCTAGAGCCCTAAACCCTTCATGACGAGGCACCCCTAAACCCTTAAATTAAATACAAATGTTAAAGTCGTCAACAAAAATGTAGCTATCCTGAAGATCAATTTTCAAAGTACTAGCTTATATTGACAGTTCTTTAGTTCCCCAGCCCAGACACGTAAGAGCCACCCGTCCAGAAATAAAAGAGTCAAGTGCACAACCTCTTTTCATGATCTCACAGTACAAAAAGAGGCAGAATTTAACGCTAAAATACTAGTAACGGTGGAAAAGATACTGTTTTTGTACATAGTGACTCAGGTTCTGTTAATATCGTCAATATCGTCAGAAGGTGCTCTACCAAAGATATGTGTCTATCAAAGATATGTTGTTTCCAGCATTCCTATTGTTATGTTAAGTCCACACTTCGACGAAGCGCACCTAATACCCTTGACCCCGAACACCCTACATGCAAGCGGTTAAGGGCTTACTTTGGCGCTCGGACTGCTGCGTTTTCGCCGTGTTTTTCGGACGAGCCTAGTAGGTCGCGCAGACCCGCAGGCTGAAACCATCTCAAACCTATGCAAAATGAAAATGAGCAGGAAGCTGGTGGCTGCATGCGCACGGCACTAGCCCAACTCTGCGCCGCAGGGCCAAACGCCTCTTAACTTTCGTTTTCTTGGGTTTCCGCCTAACTAGGTTCCGCTGGCATCCCGTATGGGGCACCCTATAGGTAAGAACCCGTGAGTGAAGTGCAGCAGGACTATGCCTACCTCCGCGGTTGCTTGCCCAAGGCCGATCTCAAGCGGCTCAGATCTTCAAATGTTTGATGGGGCTGGTACAGTTTTGATTGGGTTCGTATAGGTCTCGAGGCTTGAATGTAGAGGGATTTGGGAGTTTGAGTGCATTCTTTGGCCCGGTTTTTTCCCTAAAAGCCCTGAATCCCTAACATCCACTGCCTTGTTGGCCGCATTCCTTTGCCCCAGACCCTAAATTTGCAAACCCCAAACCTGAACCGCATAGACCCTGAACCCGAGAGGGCCAGAGGCGCAAGCTCTCAACTCCCGAGCTAGAAGGCCCAGCAAATCCGTGAACCCTAAACTTTCCTAAACCCTAGGTTTCGGGCTTATAGGGTTTATAGGGTTAATCACGGTGTTTTTAGGGTGTTTAGGGTTTATGGGGTTTTCAGGGTGTTTAGGGTTTAGGGTTAAACCCAAAAACCCGAAGGTCTGAAATCCTCAACCTGTTGCTCAGCGTTTTGATACCGGAGCCGACAGACAATTGCCAGCATCCTCCCCCACAATCCCTATTTAATGCCAGAACACGATGTATACAACTAGAGTATTCCCTTTAGAATGCCTTAATAAGAATATTAGTTAGAATACGCTGTACAAAGCTAGAGTATGAGATACCCAAGAAGTACTCCTTAATTGGGTTGACTAGGTTTCCAACTCTCTCCCCCCCTTCCACCAAGTGCGAACTGCAAAGGCAACACGTAGTGCAGCAACTGAGGGTTCGGGTATTCGGGTTTAGAGCCCTAAACTCTAAACCCTATACCCTAAACCCTCTTGAAAAACCCTGCATCCGCAACCTAAGGTCTAAGGGGTGCATGTGCCGCGCCTAGCTAGCGCCCCCGTTGAGGCTTCAGGCGAAGGGAGGAGCGGCTTCTGGTGTTTAAACCCTAAAAACCCTAAAAACCCTAAACCCTAAACCCTAAACCCTAAACCCTAAACCCTAAACCCTAAACCCTAAACCCTAAACCCTAAACCCCAACCCGAAACCTCAACCCTCAACCCTAAACCCTAACCCCTAAAGCTGGGTGTATGCAGGCCCCCGGCATCGACGATGCCCAGTTCTTCGAGGAGCTCAAGGAAGCCTTCCAGGGGCCAGGGGGGCTCAGACGCCTTCAGGGGTGGAAGTCTATAGGGTTATATATATATATATATATGTATGTATATATCTATATATATATATATGTATGTATGTCTGTATGTATGTATGTATAAGTATGTATAAGTATGTATATATATATACATTTATATATGTAGGGTTTATGGTTCTATGGTTCTAGGGTTCTAGGGTTCTAGGGTTCTGGGGTTCTGGGGTTCTGGGGTTCTCGGGTTCTGGGGTTCTGGGGTTCTGGGGTTCTAGTTTTTTAGGGTTCAAGGGGTTAGGCTTTTGGGTTTGGGTTTAGGGCTTAGGGTTTAGGGTTTAGGGTTTAGGGTCTGGGTTAAGGGTTCAAGGGGTTTAGGGGTCTTGTGGAGGCTTTTCTTCTGGAACTTTCTGTGTTCACAAGGTGTATGTAGCGCGCCCAGCGTTCTACCTGTTGCGCAATAGTGCCACCTTTTTCGACGTCTTGGATTGAATTGCAGAGGCGTGAGAGTAGCCCTTTACATGATAATGTAAAAATGTAATATCACAACAATATGATACCAATAGAATACTTTGGTTCTTTTCTAACTAGAATCGTAGAACAATGTAATGGCACAAAAGTGTAATGGTACAATGGCATAGCAATGCCCCCCCCCCCCCCCATTCCCCAGAGCTTCTGAACGCTCTGGTCCTGGACCTGAATCCCGAAACCCCAAACCCTCAGCTTGGTAGCCCCAAGTGGCTGGCAACTCACAAGGTAGCCCAGTGGTACACTTTACCTTCTTCTTGCCCTTTGAAATTAACCAAAAAAGGAGGGTATCCTTATTACAGATGGTTACTGAACTGCCAAGAGACGCCTAAACCCTAAACCCTAGCCCTAAACACTAAACCCGATAGGATGGGGGTTACTGGGCTACCAAGGATTTACAAGGGACTACTGGGCTACCAAGTCAAGCGCAAAAACGGGTTCCCAGGCTGGGAATTGACAGCAAAGCGCAGCTTGAGGCGGGCGCCGTGAACACAAAGTGAGGGCTCTCTTGTGATCCTTTGCCAGCTTTGGGGTGGAGGGGTGCAACGATTTAGGGTTTAGGGTTTAGGGTTTGTGAGGTTAAAGCCTAAACCCTAAACCCGAAGCCCCATTGCAAGGCCGTTCCCCGAAATGTGAGGGCTTCGGGGTCGAGGGTTGTAGTATACGAGGGGCCAAGGTCTGCTTGCCCCAAGAGCCCCAAGTAGGCATTACCGTAGGGTTTCGGGTTTAGGGTCTGGGTCTGGGGTTTAGGGATTTTTGGGTTTGGGATTTTAAGATGTAGGTTCCAGACTCGTGGCCCAAACTTCACATCAAAATTCCCATACTTGGAGTCTTACATCGTGAGGGTTATATCCTTATTGCGAAGTGTTTTTTTTTGCTACTACTTCCTACGACGTCGATAACTAGCAATGACAAGAGTACTGGCCCTAAACCCTAAACCCTTAAACCTTTCCAGGTGTTCAGCACCGTGGCAGCCATCCTGATGATGGGCAACGTCGAGTTCACCGAGGTTTGGGACTCAGAGTTCATTAGGTCTATAGGGGTTTTAGGTTCGGGTTTAGGGTTTAGGGTTTACGGTTTAGGGTTTAGGGTTTAGGGTTTAGGGTTTAGGGTTTAGGGTTTCGGGTTTAGGGTTTAGGGTTTAGGGACCCGTGAGAAAATCATCGAGGCCCTTGCCCTGAACAGCCTTTCAATCCTGAATCCTAAGCTCTGAATGAATCTCACACGGTAAGGGTCTTGCCCAAAGTTTCTGCGTCCTAAACCGCCACTTACTCTCTTCACTTAGTATTACAAGGGTGTGAGGAAAGGACGCATGAACCGTAGTCATATAAGTGCGTGAACTTAGTGAACGGGACAGAAGTACAGTTCATGAGTCACCAACAAGAAACCCACCTTTCCAACCTGCATCAACTGCCTCATTTTCCGGGGTATGTTTCTCTCCTTGCTCCTTTCCTTCTTTCCAGATTACACTGACTAGCAAGGACACGCGCGAAGTCAGTTAATATCGAACGAAAGAAAAGGACATTCACAAAAAACATGCGGGCCCTTAAATAAAAACTATGGGAAAAAGCGTGCCTAGACCCTAAACCCCAAACCCCAACCCTAACCCTAAACCCTAAACCCTTCTCGCTTCCTTCCCCCCCCCCCTCCCCCCCCCCCCTCCCCCCCCCCCTCCCCCCCCCCTCCCCCCCCCCCCTCCCCCCCCCCCCCCCCCCCCCCCGCAAACCAGGCCGGCGAGGCCGCCGAACTGAAAGATGAAGCTGCGGTGGTCAAGGTCCTGCGGGGTTTAGGGTTTAGGGTTTAGGGTTTCGGGGCGTTTTTTTGTTTCCAAATCAGCTTTGCTCTATCCCTGGATCTGTCTTTCAAGGTATTGTCGAGTTGTTTAAACTGGGAAAAATAAGCGTATCGTCTTCTTTACATTCTGGAGTTTGGGGTTTTCAAGCTTCGGGTCTTTTGGGGGTTTCAGGGTCTTCAGGGTGGTTCCTCCAGAACTGGATAAGGCCCTAAACCCTAAACCCTGTAGCCTCAACAGCCTTTCCCTAAAACCTAAAGCCCTAAACCCTAAACCCCGTAGCCCGAACAGCCTGCATCTAAAACCTAAACCCCAAACCTTAAGCTCTAAAACTAAACCTTAAACCCTAAACCCTAAACCCCAAGCCCTAAGCCCTAAGCCCTGAACCCTAAACCCTAAACCCTGAACCCTGAACCCTAAACCCTAAACCCTAAACCCCCCACCCTCCCAGTTTAAAGCGGGGCGGCTTCGGGGAGCGATTTCGCGAGCCGAAACTTGAGGGGATATGGGGGTCATTATGGGGGGTTTAGGGTTTAGGGTTGAGGGTTTAGGTTATGGGGGTAATGGGGGTTTACGAAAATATATGGGACCCCTAAAATAGCCCCCAAAATAGTAGGATTCCCTTATTGATAAGGACCCCAATAAGCTTCCCCTAATTTCGGAAACCCCCTGTAAGCCCTCCTCCCCCCCCCCCCTTAAGCCCTGGAGTTGGAGTTTGATGGTTGCTGAGGGCGTTGCCTGCGCCAGGCATGGGTTCTGAGACATTTTCCATTCTGGGAGATTCTTTCGGGAAGACAGGGGCACGACAGGGGCAGCTCTCGCGCACATGGCGCACGAGACGTAGGGGACGTATCTGGTCCGGAACTGGCATCCCACTTTTGCCGCTGACAGGCAGGTCGGCCTTGAATGGGGGATGCCCTAAACCCTAAACCCTAAACCCTAAACCCTAAATTCCTCAAACCCTAAACCCCGATTAGGTGGTCAAGGCGAGGGGGAAGCCTTAGGAACGGGCCCTACACCCGAAAGACCTCAACCCCTGCTCCCGACTCCAATCCCAACTTATATGGTATATGGGGTTTCCGAAATTAGGGGTACCTTTTTGTGGTTCTTATTGTACGGGAATCCTACCATTTGGGGATCTACATTGGGGGTCCCTTGTTTTCGGAAGCCCCATATGTGGGGTTCTCTTAATTCGGGGTCTCTTTCTGTGTCCTTTGTTATCCTTTCATGTACCAATTTAGGGAACTGACAATATGCTCCCAAACCCTAAGCCCTAAACCGCCAATCGACCCACAGTCAGGCTTCGGACCTGCTTGGTGTGGAGGTGCAGGTGGGCAAAGGGTTGCATTCAGCCTTAAACCCTCTTAGAGCAAGTTCGACAATGAGACTCCCTAAGCCCCGGGGCCCGAAACCATAATAAGAAAGACAGGTTTGGAGCTCTCCCACGTGGCTTAAGCAGGTACCGCAAGTTCAACTGAGCAAAAAATCAAAGCATTAAGGTTTTGATATTCTGGAGCCAAGGCCCCCCGGCAATGTTTGTACACTCCTTTACCTTTTCGAGAGACGAATTGCAAGGCAACGCGGTCAGTTTCCCCGTCTGGCCCATAAGCCAAGAAAGCTTGTCCTTCTCCTCGCAAGCAACTCCAGACCCTAAACCCTAAACCCCAAACCCTCAACCTCTCGACCCAAAAGCTCGGCGTCTCTTAGTGGGCACACTTTTTTTGGTTCGGGTTAGGATGGCTTCACCTGCCGCTGGAAAGTGTGCTTCTCCAACGGCCTTATCCGCTGAATTCCAGAACATCTCCAACGTTGTTCAAGAGCGCGTTTGCCCAAACCATCCCAGATGCGATACGCAGACAGACTCGATTGCCGGTCCTTCTAGAATTGACTCACGGCAGTCTGAGCTCCCATGTCCTTCCTTCCCTTCTTTACCTGATAAGCCGCACGATTGATACAGATTCCCTTTGTCATTCACCCCTTCCCTGAGATAACTTCATCCCCTGTAAAGCCTCTAAACTGGGAGTTTACGAAAATAAGAGACCCCGAATATACACCCCCCCAAATAGTAGGATCCCGTTAGAGAAAAGACCCCTATCGTAAACCCCACAAATCTCAAAGCCCTTTCAAAGACAACCCTGAAACAAACTCCGACGTAAAGGCCCTCAAACCCTAAACCCTAAACCCTAAACCCTAAACCCTAAACCCTAAACCCTAAACCCTAAACCCTAAACCCTAAACCCTAAACCCTAAACCCTAAACCCTAAACCCTAAACCCTAAACCCTAAACCTATACCTTCAAGGCCCTGAAGCCGGCGCTCCTGAAGCGGCTTATCAAAGTGGGCCGCGGGCCCCAGCTGTGAGGAGAGAGGGCCTCGGAGTCTGGGGGTTTCTAACGGGTAGTTTAGGGAAACCAAGGGTAGTTTAGGGTTTAGGGTTTAGGGTTTAGGGTTTAGGGAAACCAAGGGTAGTTTAGGGTTAAGGGTTTAGGGTTTCTGAGGCAGTTGCACGGGCCCTTAGCATGGCCCCCCTACCTTTAAGGGTTCCTTGCCTTCTTTAAGGGGTGCTGACGTATGGGCCCTTGAGTTCTATAGGGCTAGGGGGTGTATGGAGGTTTGGTGGCCTGCAGGGGTTCAGGAGTTCAGGGCTTGGAAGCTTTAGGAGTTTGGTGGCTTCGGGGTTTAGGAGTTTAGGAGCCTAGGAGCTTCGGGGATTCGCGCTTAGGAGCTTAAGAGTTTGCGCTCTCGGGTTTCTCAGGCTTGTACTTGGCGACCGAGCGTTTCGGACATTCTTGGGCTTTGAGGTTAGGGGCTGGGGTCTAGAAGCTTAAGCTTTAAACGGAGATCTCCCCCTCCCCTCCCCCAAGCGGCATCTAGGGCGTTTCATGATTAGGGTCCGCAGGGCTTCCGGGGGTGTTAGGGGCTCCCTAACCCTAAGCCCCCAACCCGAAATCCTAGGGTAAGCCTAAACCCGAAACCCTAAACCCTAAACCCTAGGGTAAGCCTAAAGCCATCTGCCAAGGCAAGGACGTCACGCAGGCAAACCGGACTGCTGCGCAGGCCAAGGCGGCTGCGGACGCCGTGGCACGGCTGTTGCCGGCGCCTCAGCCCCCTTGGGTTTTTAGGGTTTAGGGTTTTGGGTGAGACCGATGATACCAGCAGATTTGAGGCTCAAATCCGGAACATTCCCCTGAAGTGATCAGCATGACGACCAATACCCATCTCTTGAGGTTTCTAAGGGATCCTAGTCCCACGGCCCTAAACCCTGTAAGTCCCTAAGCCTCCGCGGTAGCACAGCGAAAAAAGGACCCCGGAAGCGAGCCTGTTTCAGGGTTTAGGGTTTACAGTAGGGTTTAGCTGCTGAGCTGCCTACTTGTTGTTTCGTTTTTTCGGACACTTGATACGATCATCAAACAATAAGTTGGGTGCCACCCCTCGGGGTATTTTTCTCCCTTCTTAGATTTCAACGGATCTTTTGTAAGGGAGGTGCTATATTGGCGCATTAGGGCTTATTATGCCTTATTTGTACTTTTTCAAGCCTCATTTTCTGGGAACATAGGCCCTTAGCCCACTTCCCACCCCCCCCTCGACCGCACACCCCCCCTTGGTTCCTGAGGTATGGCCGGCTCTTCAAGTGGCTGATCAAGCGCATCAACTCTTGCTTGTTGCGCTCTTGGAGTCCTCGAAACGGGTTTGAGTTTAAGGAGCTTGAGTTAGTTGCCACAACATGGTGGCCTTCACTGTATGAGACCATTCTGGTAGCTTGATATATGCCCTAAACCTAAACCCTAAACGCCCTCAGCCCTATGTTCCTTACCAGTCGAACGTTGGAAGGGTAGAGTATGAGGTTTGCCTGGGGTGTTTGCTTCAGGTAAAGTGGCTACAGGGCGGGCTGTGGAGACGAAGATTGAATGGCTACTTTGAAATGAGGCAAGGAACAGCGGGCTCAACTAGTTTGGTGATCCTGCCCATGTCTAGCTTCAAAGCCTTCAGATTCAAGAAGCTTGCTGCAGCTAGACTCCAATTACACTTCAAAATGAGAAATACTTCAAGTAAACATTGTCAGCCACGTGCAGAAACAGGCACAAGCAGTATGCAATATGCACACCAGTACAGTGTGGACGTGTCTGTGTAGACTGTGTAGACGCGGGCGGTTTGACAGCTCCAGGGGCTCCAGGGGCTCTCGGGGCTGTTCCCAAATTAGGGTGTGACCTTATTGGGGTCCTTGTCGTAAAGGAATCCTACTATTTTGGGGGATCTATTTGGGGGTCCCTTATTTCGCAAACCCCCATTTCAAGTTGCGGGGTTCTGGGCTGTCGTAGAACTATGGATTGCAGCAACCCACCGCTGAGCTGCGACTACTCAAGTGACCGAGCAACGAACTACCTCCACACCCTGCACCTAAACTTTTGAGCCTCTGCCCATGAACATCATCGAGCCCAAAGACTTACTCAGTGTGCTCTTAAAGACCCCCCAGCAAGCTTACAGGAGTCCCAGCCCTTGAAGCCCGAAATCCCAAACCCTTCTAGAGACATCTCTCCTCCTGAAATTCTGATCGAGGTCCGAGGGTAAGAAGGCCACCGGCCAGTTTTTCGGCGTGCTGGACATTGCACCTTCCTCAGCTGCACTGGCTCAGCTCGGGTGTAGGGTTTAGGGTTTAGGGTTTAGGGTTTAGGGTTTAGGGTTTAGGGTTTAGGGCCTGGGGCTCCGTTAGTCTTGTCCAGGGTGCCGCCGAGGCTTAAGGCTTACGCGGTTCAGAGTTTACTTCAGCGAAGGGTCCGGGGCAGCTGGGAAACACCCCACGAGGATCCTGGTTCTAAGCTCCTCAACCCTAAATAGCTCTCAAACCCTCAGCTCCTTTTCCCTAAGCGCATTAAGCGCTAAATCGGTGAAAACTACAAGGGCGTGGAAGAGTAGATGCTGAATGAAGGGGACCTTTTAGTATCCCTAAGCCCTAAGCCCCTAGGCTTACTGGGTTTTCGTAGCCAAGAATAAGGGTTCAGGGTTGAGGGCCAGTTCAGGGGTGGAGGGTAGAATAAGTGTACGTATATACATATATTCCTAGTAAGAACGTGCAAGTCGTATCTCGCGGTGCGACATGCACTTGCGCTTATTCTATCGCAGTTGTGGCGCCTTTTGAAGGAGGATCCCGCTCCACCACTCTTGCTGCGCAACCTCCGTGATGCTTAATCTGCCAACTACCAGGAGCAACCCCCCCCCCCTCCCCCCGAAGAACAACCGAACATGGCCGATATCGAGGCTGGGTTTGAAAGCTTCGAGCACAATTCGTCCGCGGCCCCAGACGTCGGGTGTTTGAGGATGTCAGAAGTAGGATATACAGTTCAAGATTCAGAGTTTATGAGAGGTTGGATGTAGTACTCTGGCCCGAGGTTCGACATAGAGTCTGGCAGACTTCTTCACTTCACGAAGAGTAAAGACCCACTCATAATGGAGCAGTTTGGGAGTTTCCTCGTTCAGTTTAGTATTGGGTTTAGGCTAGTCCAAGACTTCCATTCAACAAAGGTGAGTAGGTGAATGTTACTATATTTTAAGTGAGCGAAGTGATCAAAAGCCTGCTACCCCCAAAAACCCTGCACCTTTCGATTCGGGTGCAGGGCTTAGGGTTTCTATATCCCCCTTGGGAATGATTTTTTGTTTATATAAAACCCAAAAAAGGAACTTAAACATATAGTTGTTATTGAGGTTCTAAGGGGAGTATAGGTTTGGGGGACAGTGTGTCTCAATGAAAGGCTGTCCCTGGAGGCCCACGTTTGGATTTTGTGCCTTTGGAGAAAGATGAGCGGGCACTTTGCTCTCTAGTCGACCACGGCACCTTCTTTAACGTCCTAAACCCGAAACCTTAAAGCCCCTAAACCCTAAACCCTAAACTCTAAACCCTAAACCCTAAACCCTAAACCCTAAACCCTAAACCCTAAACCCTAAACCCTCTAAAACCTCAAAGCGACCCGGAACCCGACATCCCCGAGCCGAAGGTTCATCATGCTGAGGGCCTCAACCCACCGTTCCGACATAGAGATTAAACATAGGGCGTCGGGGTTCCGTGAAGAGTTCCTGTCCCCCCCCTCACCCCCCCAACCCCCTCACCTCCCTACCCCCACCCTAGGGTTTAGGGTTTAGGGTTTAGGGTTTAGGGTCTAGGGTTTAGGGTTTAGAGTTCCCCCCTACCCCCCCCCCGCCCCTCCCACCGAGACTGGAGCAGCTGTTCATCAACCTCAGCAATGAGCCAGGAACCTGGAGACAGCGTGCCCTACGGTAAACTCCCAAAAGTTGGAGCATCCTTATCCCCATACTAAGGGGAATCCCAGCCCGAATCATCAACTTTCTAGAGTTCACTGTAAGTGCCCTGCAGGCCCTTCAACTTCCCTGTAGGTTTCGGGTGAATGTAAAGGTTGAGGGACAGAAGGTGAAACCCCTAGTTCCCGGGTTCCGGGCCTGTAGTCAAACATCTCCAGAACCATCCCATGCCCGATATGTGTACCCTGAATTTTTAATGATTTGTATCCAACATGGTGGATGAGGTGGTTCATATGCGCCTAACTCAGTTTCTAGTATTAGCACCAAGTATGGTGATAGGTACCCCTAGAAGCCCACATATCTTGCCCCCTTCAACAAAAAGGAAGGGCACCCTGTTCATTGAAGGCCACGGTGTGACAATGGAGAAGTTGGTTGAGGTTTATGGCTTATGTCCGAAGATCAAGGGCCCGTGCCCTACACGCCGCCCCCCATCCCCCTAAATCCTAAACCCTAAACAACCCTAAACCCTAAACCCTAAACCCTAAACCCGAGGCACCTTCAGCAGCACTTCAACAACCACATCTTCAAGATGGAGCTGGACCCCCTCAGTGACTTTCTGCTGTCAACGTGGGAACACGACACCTGATCTTTTTTGCTCCAAGAGCACCCTGCAAGCACTTCAAGAGAACCTTAAAAGCACCCCCCCTAAAAAGAAAGAAAGAACTCTGTAATCATGATCATCGTCATAATAACATTAAAGAAATAATATCAAAAACAACACTCTCTGAGCACTCCAAGACCCATGTAAGATCAATCTTTGAGCACTACAGGTGCCCCCCCCCCAAAAGTGTGGGCACGAAATTCCTCAACACTCAGCCGCAGATTTGGCTATTTTTCAGGCACCCGAAATCCCGAGTCCGAAGTCCCGAGTCTTTAATCCCACCCCAAAGCCGGAAGTCATCCCAAAAGTCGCTCAGGGAAGTAGGAACCAAGGATTCCCGAAGCCCTCAAACCCTAGAAAAGCCCCAAAAACCCCTAGGCCCTTAACCCCACACCCCAAACCCCAAACCCTAAACGCCCCAAACCCCAAACCCTGAGCCCCTAAACCCCAAACCCAAACCCTAAACGCCCTAAACCCCAGTCCCTACACCCCAAACCCTAAACCCTAAACCCTAAGCCTCAAACCTCAAACCCTAAACCCGAAACGCCCCTAACACCCTGTAAAAGGACGACTACAAGGCCGAGGGGATCCCGGCTTGGGACCCAGCATTCTCGCGGCCGGGGTGGTCAGGGTTGAAAGTTTATAAGGTTTGGTTCTCTAATACTCCAAAAGAGTGTTGGGTTTAGGATTGAGGGTTTAGGGTTTAGGGTTGTAGGTTTATAAAACTGCAAGGCAGCATGGCTCCTTCCTATGGCACCCTTGTCTTCTGAAGCTTGGGCAGGGGGGAGGGTCTTGCATTTGTGGGAGGGTTTAGGGTTTTAGGGTTTAGGGTTGAGGGTTAGGGGTATGTAAGGGCTCCTTTCTGGGCGTCCCCCCCAATGAAGGGCGAATACGAGGGGCCCTTTCAAGGACCCGAAGCCCTAGACCTGACACCCTAAGCCCTAGGGCCAAACCCTTCTTCAGGGCCCTTTCTAGCTTTTCTAGAATTATTAGCCCTCGAAGCTGGGAGCCCCAAAATCCGGGAACCTCATAAGCCCAACCGTCAGCCGTAGAACACAACCCAGGAGCCCTCACCCCCGAGAAGTCTAGGAGTCTAGAATCCCGAAGTCTCGGAGGAGGCACTGAGAAGTTGGGTAGTGCCCCCACCTACAGGTCCTGTTTCCTCGACTGCGACCAACGATCATGGCTCAGCCCTTTCAGCTCGAGCTCGGACCCATGTGCTGCGCGAGTAGCACTCAAGTACGCACGTGGTGGGATTTTTGCGCCTGGGGTCGGTTTGCGTGAGTCGAAAAAGCGTCTCGTGACAACCATCGCCGACCTCATCAAGAAGATGTTTGGCTTGCTGTTCCACAACAGAAGTGGGAAGGAGGCGCTCCTGCAAGAACTCATTGGCGAGAGCTCAACTGAGAGCCGCGAGAGGGCTCTCAGCCTCCTTGACATGATAAATCAAGCAAGATGGGGGGGGGTTCCGAAATTAGGATACCTTGTTGAAGCCTTGTTGGGGTCCTTATTGTAATGTTGAGCTCAATGTTAGGGGTTCCTTATCTTCGTCAACCCCCCCATATGGCTGTTCCTGCGAATTCTGAGCAACACGTCCACGTAAAGGCCTTTTGTTTATCCATCCTTTGCCTAGTTCCCTCATGATTGTCCATCGGGCTCCCTACACCCCATAAGCCTCAGAGCACATTCCTGCTTGCACCTGACTACTTGGGATCTAGACGTCGGGCATGTGGTTACAGACCTTTCTGTAGGGCCCTGAAGCCCTAAGCCCTAACTGAAGCACGCGGGAAACCCTAAACCCTAAACCCTAAACACTACGTAAACCCTAAGTTAGTTTTTTTTCTTTTTTTGGGGGGGGGGGGGGGGGGGGGGCTATGAAAGAATAAGGCCCCCCTGGCAGCATGGCCCCCCCCAGGTTGATGCAGGGCTCAGCTTCAACGACAACTCGGACATCGTCACCTTGATCGACTCAAAGGGTGCTTCGAGTATCCCCGAGAATCTGGGGTTTGGGGGTGGGCTCGGGTTGTGGGTTTTGAGGGCTTGAGGATTTGAGAGATGGAATGTGCAGGGTGTTTAGGGTTCAGGATTGCTTTTTATGTTGGGGGGGGGGGGCGGTGGGGGGGCGGGGGGGGGGCGGGGGGGGGCGGGGGGGGGGGGGCGGGGGGGGGGGGGGGGGGGGGGCGGGGGGGGGCGGGGGGGGGGGGGGGGGGGGGGGGCGGGGGGGGGGCGGGGGGGGGGGGGGGGGGGGGGCGGGGGGGGGGGGGGGGCCGGGGGGCGGCGGGGGCGGGGGGGCGGGGGGGCGGGGGGGCGGGGTGGGGGGGGCCCCCCTTAGACTATACCTTTAAGGGGTGTCCCGTAAAAAATCCCTGTTCAGGACTGTTCGTATAAGGGGCAACATCCCAAGTTCGCCTGCTTATGCTCCTGAACCTCGAAGCCTCAGACCCTATCCTGGAAGCAAACCCTAAACCCCAACCCCTGCAACCCCAAACCCTAAACTTTAAACCCTAAACCCTGAACCCTAAGCCTTAAACCCTGAACCTTAAATGCCCAACCCCTAAACCCCAACCCCCCCCCCCGCCCCCCCAACCCCTAAAACCAAGACCCCTAAACCTTAAACTCTAATTCCAACCCCTAAACCCCAAACCCTAAACACCAACCCCTAAACCCTAAACCTTAAACTCTAAACCCAAAACCCCAACCTCTAAACCCAAGCCCTAAACCCCTAAACCCCAAACCCCGGCCCCCAAACCTTAAACCCTAAACCCCAACCTCCAAACCCCAAACCCTAAACATCTAGACCCAAAACTCAAAAAACCCTCAACCCAAACCCTAATTCTAAACCTCCTAAACCCCAAGCCCCAAACCCAAACCTTTCGGACCCTGGTCGGGCCCTTCCAGGTGGCCTCTTGTCGGTGCTAGACGAGGAAGTGTCGATGCCAAAGGCGCGTTAGGGTCTAGGGCTTAGGGCTTTCGGCTCAGGGTTGAAGGGGTCCAGGGTTTAGGGTTTAAGGTTTGGGGCTTGTGGCTTAGGGTTTGGGTTTTGGGTCTTAGGGTTCTTCATTGCAAGATGACTGCATGGGGAGGGTCTGGGTGTAGGGCTTCGGGGCTTTTAAGGGGGGTGGGGGGGGGGTCGGTGAGGGGAGCGTGCAATTGCTCCGGGGGTCTGAGTCCGAGAATGCTGTAAGCCCGAACCCCGAAACGACAAACTGCTTTACGGGGCCGCAAGAACCCCCGAATTCTGATTCTCCAAACAGACGGACGATGTTCAACGTTC